CAAGAAGCAAACCTTGATTTTGCCACTTAATATAAGGGACACCATTTTACTGTGCCATTGTATATAATGGGATTTGAGCATCCATGTATTTTGATATCTGTGGCAGGTCCTGCAACAAAACCACAGCAATACAAAGGATCCAGTGTCTATTGTTGAACCCCAAAGTCAGGGTTGTGCATGCCATTGTATTTCTAATTTCTATGTATGGCCATGAAAACTGGTCAGTGAAGAAAGCTGATGGGAAGAGAATCCATTCATATGAAATGAGGTGCTGAAGAAGAATTTTATGGATACCATGGACTACTCTAAAGTCAATATGTGTGAACTTTTGATATGTTGTTTTTCTTTCTGCCCTAGTTTCTTGAGGGGTTGGGATCCTCAAATTGGATCCCAGTTTAGGAAGTTGATGTATTTCCATTCCATCCCTAATCTGAAATGCCTTAAGCACATTGGAGCTCTCTTGCTAGTTCCCACATGTGCATCTTCACAATCTGCTGACAAGGTTTCATTGTAGTAACATTCAGAGACACAGCTGGGTTAGTCTGGAATATCAATATGGAAAGGGATCTTGTAGCACTTTTGAGACTAACAAGTTGAAGCATAAGCTTTTGTAGACTTGGTCAACTTGGTCAACTTTAGCAATTCACTCCATGCATCTGAGGAAGTAGACCAAGTCTACGAAAGCTTACGCTACAACTTCTTTTGCTCGGTCTCAAAAGTGCAACAGGATCCCTTTGCATAAGGTTTTAGTGTGTTTCTGAAATGTAGTTACCAATTCATAAAGTTATGAAAATGTAGACTGCGATGTAGGATCTTGGCCAAAATTCTTTCCACTCTCTCTCCCAGGGCTGCAAACATAACAGCTATGAAGATGCCAAGGCTTACGGGTTTAAGAACAAACTGATCATTGTGTCGGCCGAGACGGCTGGGAACGGATTGTATAACTTCATTGTCCCACTCCGTGCCTACTATCGGTCACGGAAGGAGTTAAACCCCATCGTGCTGTTGCTGGACAACAAGCAAGTGCTTCCCTTTCCCCCAAATTTAAGGAAAGCTATTGCCTGAGAGGCACGGATGATTTGGGAAACAAAGTGTTACACAGAAGCAAACCCTCGTGAAACACTTCTCTCTTTCCTTCTCCATTGGCAGGCCTGACCATCACTTTCTGGAAGCCATCTGCTGTTTCCCAATGGTCTATTACATGGAAGGCACAATTGACAAGTAAGTTTCTTTGTCTGTCAGCACAGCCATGAGGAATAGAAACTTGCTTTGGAGGTTTTGTTCCATGCCAATATTTTGTACTCAGCTTCATGACCGCCAGCATGGCATAGTGGTTGGAGTGTTGGACTAAGACTCTGGAGATCAGGGTTTGATTCCCAGCTGAGCCATGAAACCCATTGGGTGACCATGGGCAAGTCACATGCTCTCAGCCTCAAGGGAAGGCAATGCCAAACCTCCTCGGAACAAATCTTGCCAAGAAAACCCCATGATAGGTTTGCACTAGGGTCATCATAAGTCAGAAATGACTGGGTCCACCACAATAACTACTACCTAAGGTAGAAGTATTTGGGAGGACTATCAGGGGAGGAGGAGGAAAGTTGGTCTCTGGCCACTGCACAATTGTCTGCTCCTATATAACATGGAGCAAAATTACTGGTCATTAAATTACTTGGTAAAGGAGCACTGTTCTGTCATCATTACACCCTAAATGTCATGCATTAGGGATAATGCAATTACTCCTTAATGGGTTACTTACCAACCTTGTTGAACATGGCATCCTCATCTCCACTTACCTCTTGGGGTGGGATTCTTTCAGCCTTGACAGTTTGCTGCAATGTGGAATCATTTACGCTGACAATTTGGTGGTGGTGGATAAGGAGAGTACCATGAGTGCCGAAGAGGATTACATGGCGGATGCCAAGACCATCGTCAATGTCCAAACCATGTTCAGGTAAGGCAACAGGACATCTGAAGTTCTCAGTGGTGCCTGCTTCACTCATTTCTCTTCTCTTTGACATTCCAAAATGGTGATTCACTCCCTGTTCTTTGTTTTAGAGGGGTGGGTGGTTGAGAAAGAGGACTCTTGAACCACAAATTGGATTTCTTGCTACCATTTGGATTCATGGCAGAATAAGACAAGGTACAAGGATGTCCACTTTCTAAACAATGGTGGCTATATGGACCCTAAAGTTGCACTTTTGTTGGTGACTTGTGCTTGTGAAAGGGCTCACTACGATGGCACAATTCACTTGTTTTGGCTCAGGAGGACCCTCCTTGTACTCATTAAAAGTAAAGGATCTGATTTCTCCTCTTCTTTTCCCAGGCTTTTCCCAAGCTTGAGTATCATCACAGAACTAACGCATCCATCCAACATGAGGTTCATGCAGTTCCGAGCAAAGGATAGCTATTCTTTAGCTCTTTCCAAACTAGAAAAGGTAACTTTAAGGGTACGGGGAAGTGGTTTTGGCAATGCAGCTTTTGTCACAAATACTGATTTGTGTTTTTCCTAGATTCACAATCCTGAAATTTTGCAAGATCCTTTGGTTTGATCTAAGGAGGCCCTTCTGTTGGCCATATCTCTGTGTTCTCTTCCCCTCACAGAAAGAGCGTGAAAATGGCTCCAACTTGGCCTTCATGTTCCGACTCCCATTTGCTGCTGGCCGGGTTTTCAGCATCAGCATGTTGGATACATTGCTTTACCAGGTCAGAAGGCAAGGAAGAAGAAACCTAATTATGTATGAGTTTGAGCCTCAGGAATTCTGGTTCTGGTGCAGAAACATGGCCAGCTATTCCAAATACATGGCTGATGAAATTTTTGAGTCATCTTTTTTTTTTAGGGGGTGCCATTTATTTTGCTTTTTAGCAGTGCCAAGAAATAATGCCTAATCTTCTGGAGCCCAAAGTCACCTTCATACTATTGTGTAGAACTTTGTGGACAACCCATACTATTAATAATTTCAAAATGAGAAATAACTGCTGCTTGGTTAAAGAACGGGGGGATAATTTTGTTGATTAAAATGTTGATGCTTATAGATTGGAGTGCGAAAACTCTTGGGTGGCATTTTTTGAGAGGAACAACAAATTACTCTTCCAGCTTCTTGGCAGGCCACACTAGCATCAGTGATGGCTGGTGGCTCTCATGTCCTGCTGAAGTTTGGAAAGCTTAATAGGAGCTATCCAAAGTACTGAAACCTACTCACAATCTAAGTTCAGCACCTTAGAGAGCTCCTTAAAAGCAGTTCAGGACTCGTGTTTCTTCACTGACATGGTCACCATGATCGTCTATGTTTTGTATTTTGTTGGGCTGTTCTTTTATGTGGGGAAGGTCCAAAACTGCATTATGGTCCAAAATGGGATCCCTGAAAGCTGTTATTGGTCAGAAGATATTCCTGCAGGTCTGAGAGAGGCAATGAAACCTCCCTCCATGACCTCCCTCCATGGCCTGCCTGTGTCCTATGGACCACACAAGTCCCCCACTTTGAGAGGGATGAATCTGATCCATTAAATATTGCAGGATAACATGACTGTTGATGAATCTTCTTCTTCCTTACAGTCATTTGTGAAGGACTACATGATCACCATTACAAGACTGCTGTTGGGCCTGGATACAACCCCAGGTTCTGGCTACCTCTGTGCTGTAAGTGTTGAGTCCTCCCAACCTTTTGTATGGAACCAAAATGGCAAACTTTGTGTTTCATCCCTGCTGTCATTGGAATGATTCCCCCAGAACTTCTCTGAAATTCCAGTTGGCTGAAGAGAGATTCCACATACTTGCCCAATTGCTTATGAAATTGTGGGCTTCAGACATGGGCTGCCTCAACCCCTTATTGAATCCTGGCAATAAATAGAGTTCTCTTTTGTTGAAGTAAAGCAAAGAAGGCTTTCTTCCCTTTGTTGAACAGATGAAAATCACAGAGGATGACCTGTGGATCCGGAGCTATGGCCGTCTCTTCCAGAAACTCTGCTCTTCCAGCGCGGAGATCCCCATTGGCATCTATAGAACAGAGTCCCACATGTTTTCTACCACAGATGTAAGCATCCAAAAAGAAACAGAAACAATTTGTTCGGTTGTTTTTTGTGGGTTTTTCAGGCTGTGTGGCCATGTTCTAGAAGAGTTTCTTTCTGACGTTTCAATTTTTTTGGTTCTTTATTCAAAGCAATAGCCTCATCTTTCCTAGTCCAGTATTGGCTAGTGGCTAACATGTCGGTGAAGCAGTAAATTTGCTCCTAGTTCTATCTAAACTTTAAAAGAAATATTCATGGTGCAGAACCTAGTCCCCAAAAGAGATTCAAAACTTTGAATAGCTCCTTTAAATTCAGACTAAAACCCAGAATGGATTTTTCACCATCAGCAGCCACTGCTTAAGAAAAATACCCTGCAAACACCCCACAACTCTAGATCCTTTCTACTTTCTATATTTTATTTTAAGCGTGCCATCAAAAAGTCACCTTGTTATTTAAAAAAAATAGTGTTTGGGATCCTATTAGCTAAACTAATGACAGATTATATCATCACACACTGCTGGAAAGGACTTTGGTGGTCATATAGTCCAACCCCCTTGCTCAGTTCAAAATCTATGGTGCAGTATGCAGTTACATCCCTTGAGAGATAATAGTTTTCAAGCTTTTAGACTGCTCTTGCACACTAGATGTCAACAAAAGGGTGATGCATTTTTTCAGATAAGGTTCCCCCTCCAAAAAAAAAAAAATAATTTCTTTCTCTTCTTTATCTCTTTCACAGCCTCATGACCTCAGAACACAGGTGAGTATGGTTTCTGTCCATATATGTCTGTATGAATCTTGATGCTGAAAGTTAAGTGTAATCTTCAGACTTTACAGCTAATGAACAGAAGGTGGTGCCTATATATATGTGTACACTTTGTCTTGCACCTTTACTAGTGGTGAGCAGACTTATGATTGCACTCTGCATTTTTAGCATCATTGACCTGGACTAAATACTGCATCCTAGTTTTGTGCATGTAATGGGAAGCGAGGAGACAGCCAGCATGGCATAGTGGTTTGAGTGTTGGACTACAACTCTAGGCACCAGGGTTTGATTCCCAGCCTAGCCATGAAACTCACTTGAGCAAGTCACACGCTCTTAGCCTCAGCAAACCTTTGAATAAATCTTGCCAAGATGGCCCCCATGGGTTGCCATAAATTGGAAGTGACTTGAAGACCCACAAGACACACCCGCAATCCTCATTGGCTTCTGGAAACACCCTTCAATTCAAAGAATATAAATGCTTTTATCCTAGTGCAAGACCATGGCCCCAGTGACACCTCAGGGGTTGGGAAACAAGTTATTGCTTCTCCTTATGGCCTACTGGTGTTCCCAGTCACAGATCTCAATCAATGTGGAAGATTGCGAGGACACCAAAGAGCTGAAGGAACATTGGAATGCCAAAACAAACCATCACCGAAACTCGTGTCCCACCGAACCATCAGAACACCCGTTGCTTCGGCGCAAGAGCATGCAGTGGGCACGCCGGCTCAGTCGGAAAGGGACCAATAAACACACACCCAAAACAGCTGAGTGGATCAACCAACAGAGGTTGAGCCTCTACCGGCGGTCAGAGCGGCAAGAGCTGTCAGAGCTGGTGAAGAACCGAATGAAACATCTGGGCTTGCCCACAACAGGGTACGGTAAGTGGGGGCTTCTTTTTGTCTATGGCAGTGATGGCGAACCTTTTAGAGACCGAGTGCCCAAACTGCAACCCAAAACTTACTTATTTATCACAAAGTGCCAGGTCCCTTTGGATTTCTAGTAATGAACTCTGGTGAACTCTATACTGGGGTGACGGCACATGTGCCCACAGAGAGAGCTTTGAGTGCCACCATGTGCCATAGGTTCGCCACCACTGGTCTATGGCATCTCCAAAGATGCCTCTTTGTTCATCTCACATCCAGGACAGTTTTAGCATTTGGGTATCCACGACTTGCCTTGGATCTGTTGAAGCTTCTGTTTAGAGACATAGACATGTTGGAATGTCCATGTGCAAAGGGATTTTGCATCACCTTTGAAACTAATTGAGTGAATGAAGTTGTCAAATAAGTTTTTGTAGACTTGGTCTTGCAACAGACTTCAATCTTCCAGGGCATTCTACCCCTAACTTCAGGGCTGTGGTCCTTGAACAAAAAACCTGCAAAGGAAGATTGGAAAGAAACAGCTGAATTAGAATATATCCACAAACTCCAATCCATCAATAGTGGGTTAAACAGAGACAATAGCTCCCTAGCACACTACAGATATTAAAACACTGGTTAACACCCCAGCCTCATGAGGATGCTCTTGACCAGTTTGTCATATCTCCTTTCTGTGCACATGACATTCCAAAACTTCCTCCACCATTCATATAGTCAACCACCTACCCTGGCCCTAGGCAGCATCTTTCCTCCTGCCTTTGTCCCTCAGTGACCATAGCTAAAGCTGAACTTTTCACCTCATCACCATACCCCAAAGTTTTGCATTTCTATGCGATTCATACAGTCTGATAATAAAGGTCCTTCACTCCATGCATCTGAAGAAGTAGACCAAGTCTACAAATGCTTATGCCACAATGTCATTTGCTCAATCTCAAAAGTCTTGCCAGATCCCTTTGCATAGTGGCTTCTATTTCAGGTGATACTGTGTTTTACTTAAAAACTTTCCAAGAGCTGTCCATGGTTCTGAACCTACTTTGTGGCTATGATCTTGGACAGCTCCGTTAATCTATAAAACCCATAGTGGATTCATTGGACCTCTGACACAAGAGACGATGGTAACATCATTGCTGATTAATCTATTATAGCCAATAGATTGATGAAGGGCACAAGATAACAGCCACTGTACTGAAGCTAAGTTTGTCTGAATCTGGTCAGCTGCTGAAAATCATGTACCTATTGTCTTAAATTCCAAGGGCAGAGTAAGAATATAATTGTACTAACTAAATTATTTTTGAAAAACTATCTTGTGCCATGCATGCCACAAGCAGACTTTCACCTGATAATGATTATCCTTATATGAAGACCATCCTTCTTTGATTTTTCCTTTCAGAAAGTGAGTAGGGTAGAAAATTATATGAAATTCTTCATACAAGGGATGGAAAGAATATTTTAAAAATATTTGAAGATCAGTCCAAAAATGTTTTTCTCGAATGTTGTTGGGAAATCCTGACAAGGAGCAGCCTGGCTTGAGGAGGAAACTTCATAGTTCAGGACCGATTCTGTGCAAAATTTACACTTTTGAGTAGAAAACAATGGCTGGAATGACTAGTATATATTCATGATCCCTACTTATTTAATGCAGTAGGGACTACACAGAGATTGTGAAAGTCTCCCAGTCTGGATTACTGGTCAGCAGTTGCAAGCTGCTTCCTGCACTCACAAAAAATGCAAATTTTTCACAGATTAAGTCCCAAACTATGAATAGTCTTCAAGAAATTTTTTTTTTACAGTTTTCAAAGACTGTCTCACAGCAAGGAGAAAATTGCTTAAAATTACTTGTTGCTTCCTTCGAGGACTAATTTAGCAAAGAATTACATCCCTACCGCATACTTCTTTGACTTTGGGAAATGAAATGAGAAAAGAAAGTAGTGAAAACATTGTGGCTGAAGGAGGTGTCCTCAGTGCAGCTGTCGTAAAGTGCTGTCATTTGGAAATTAAAAGAAAAGAAAAGAATATTTTGTGATGAGGGGAAATCTCTTCTGCTTTAGGTTGCAATGAAAAAAACTCATTCCATAGCTTTCTCCCTTGATTTCTTTTATGTCATCCTAAGCTCTTGGCTGTTTCTTCTGTCACACTTTCAATACCTTCTTAAGCTTTTGAGATCCATGAGATGGCTTCCCGCCTCCATTTGCATGCAGTGCTTTTTGCTTTAACCAGAATTGGGCCTCGCCAAGGCTTTGTCAGCTTTTGGGGGGGGGGACCTTTTGGAACAAACATCTGGATCAACCAAGAAGTTGTCTATTAGGTTTCCTAAATGTACATGGGAAGGGGGCAAAACAGCTTGAAAGAAACAGATGCCCATCTTGGAAACCTGAGGTTCTGAAACCTGCAGGAGTGTCTTTTCAGAGACAACCATGAACAGATGAGAAAATGGCGGCTTGTACACCAGAGTAAGGAGCCAGTAGGGAAAGTAGCTAGTAGTAAAACTAAACCAAGGTTTCACAGCAGTGTTTTAGAGGGCTATAACTCAAGAACATCCCAGGCCCTGAGATTGTGGGGCCAAAACCTGAAATCTAGGGGTGACCACTAGTGATGCAACAAGGAATGGGTCCTCAGGTTGTCACAAAGGACAGACCCTAGTTGTTCATTCACACACACACTTTTCAAGGCACTGGTCTCACCTTGTGGTTCCTTCAACTAAGCCTAGAGAGAAGGATCTAGGCCAGCAATTCCCAAACGTTGGCCCTCTAGATGTTTTGGACTTCGGCTCCCAGAATTTCTGACTGTTGACCAAGCTGGCTGGGTCTTTTGGGAATTGAAGTCCAAAACACCTGGAGGACCAAAGTTTGAGGATCACTGATCTAGGCCCTGATGATTTCCTTACCACATATTCTCTTCAAGACCCTGTGATTCTTCCACTTTGCCTTTTGGTTTAGAGAACAGGATGCAAGCCCTGTGATCCAGAACCCCTAATATTTAAAATACTCTTGTTGAATAATGGCCTTCTCTGCAGCAAAGATCCTCCTACGAATTTTATGCAGACACACATCCTATGATTCTTAGCCATTTTAATTAAATTCTCTATTGTCGATTCAGTCTACACTGCTAATTCCTGATCGGTGGAGGTGTTGGATTAGAAATTAATAGGTTTCTAAGTGCTTTTTGAATCGCCTCTCTGAATGGTTTCAACCTCCAGGATTCCTTGTGGGACACGTAGGAGGTACTTGACATTTAGAGAGTGCTAAAGGCACGTCTATGCAAGAGATTTAAATGGGTTCATTACCTTCCTGGGAAACTCTATGAACTGTCCTTCCATGAGGATGTCTTATACAGAATTCATACACTTCAAAACACTACAATTCCCAGGATTCTGTGTGGAAGAAACCCATGGCAGTTGAAGTGGTAAAAACCCAATCTAGGCTTGTAGTTCAGAAATCACCCAAGCTTTACAATGGGGGGAAACTCTTTGGGGATCCAAAGCCAACTTTCTCCAGACCACCCATGGGCTGTACCCCCTCCAAGCAAGCCAAAATACTTCCATTTTTTTCTCTATGGTCCTTCTCAAAATGATGTCAGGAAGTGACATTCCTGCCACCATTTTGAGAAGAAAGGCAGAAGAAAATACAAGTATTTGCACAGGGTTCTGGGAGCTTGTGGTGGTGGATGGTTATTGTTGTTGTTGTTGTTGTTGTTGTTGTTATTATTATTATTATTATTTTCATGCATGGTGGGGCAAATCAGGTTGGGAGATCAGGAGAGATGGAACCATGGAAAGTAAAGTGGAATCATAGTGCTATAATTGGATAATGTGGATGCCCCACTTATTAATGTCTTGGGAAGGAGGAGGATCAATGGATCAATGCCCCTGGTCATCTGATAGTAATCTGTCAAATCCAATTTTTATTTTTATCTTTCTTTAAAATTGTTTTGCAGCATGTCACTTAGTAGCGTCCACGTCTACACCGCACCATGGATCGAACAATTAATTTGGCTTCCTTTTCATTTGTCTCTATTTTTATTTTTTTCCTTTTATCTATATTTATATATATATATATGTATATGTATATACTTTGGACTACATTTTTGCCCATGTAATCACAAAAGCTGGTTTCTGAATATTTTTCTGAGTCGCTGCTCGCTGATCTTTCTCTTTCTTCCCTTTCTCTCCGTTTTGTGTCTGTGCTTTTTATTTTTCCTTTTGGTTTCCGTTTCTCTCATTTTCTTTTACTTTCTTTTGAGTCTGTTCTGTTCCTTTATTTATTTATTTATTTTCTTTCTTTCTTTCTTCTCTGTGTGTTCTGTAGAGGATGTAGCAAATTTAACAGCCTGTGATGTGATGAATCGGGTAAACCTTGGATATTTGCAAGGTAAATCTTTTCTCCTCTGGGAGACAGGCTTGACTCATGGTGTCACAGCATGATATATA